CCACAAGCTGCACGTGTAAAAGTTAGTACAGTAGGCCCTAAAGAGGGTGACCTTGACTTTAAGTGAACACCGTGCAAACCTGCGAGCTATCATGTTTGCTCTAACCGACAACGCTCTTCGCTCTCGTTCAATATCTTCATCATCTTTGAGATCAGGGGTCAACACATGGCCGGGATATTTAAATTAGAAACTCTTGTCAATGGCGTTCCGTTGAGGCTACGGGAGGTATCTTATCATGCGTCCCACCCCTGGTCTCAAAGACCATGATCTCCGACTTTTTACAGTTGTACACCAAACCGTGTGATTTGGCGTATCCCTCACACAAAGAAACAAGTTGCCTTAGGCCACAGAATAAAACTGTATTTTCTTAAATAAACTTTTGCATTAGTAAAACCACTTAGACCTAATAAATGAATTTTATTTTTGCCGTTACGTCGGGTTGGTAATTTTGAGTTCACTTTAAAGCATATTCTTACATTACTCAGATTTAAAAGAATTTAAAAGAAAATTTAGAAAGAACCAGCTCACTACTAATCGACTAATTTTGATAAGGATTTTAGACACAATGCGTTTAATTTACGGTCTAATGTTTTTTTGTGTAAGGCTCTCATAAATATGCTACAAGTCAGATATAATATATAATTATAATATCAAAATTGGTGAATTCGACAAATAAACACCACATCGTAGTCTTTTTTTTAATGAAAATTCTACTTTTATTATACATCGGTTTATTAAAACTATAAAAGCTTAGAGTAAGAAGAATTAGAGTAAGAAATAAATAAAAACCCAACGGTGCTTCAATACAAAAGTTAATTCTGAAACATTTTAAATCTCGACAATAAAATTCAAGAACAAAATGTCTGAATATACACATTCCGAGCAAAATTCATTCCGAAACAAGTCCCTTAATCCATACAGATTATGGTGTGGCGCTCGAGGGTGTCTAGTTTATAGTTGGTTCGGCTCCCGGAGGCGATAGCAGACGTTAAGTTGGTTGGTTTTCCTGTAGAAAGCAATGTAATGACCGTGTTTTCCTTTGTCTATGTTCGGCCGACAGTTGTCGTAATGTCCCTGATTAATATCAATCGCATACTAGTTGCATTTATATTGTTAAACTTTATGCCCAATTTTTAGAATGGATACGGTGAATTGAGACCTATAAAATCAAAGGCAGCTAAAGGCCTTAATGTCGTAAAATGGACTAACAATGGCGCTATCTTGTTTAGTTAGTTAGACACGCTTTAGTGTTTTCATGTTATAACAAATGCAGCTAAATCTCTAACAAATTCAGTTCAAAAATTTAATTTTTACTCTGTACTAAGTACTAATAAACGAAGTTTTATCATTTAAAATTCAGATTATTAGTAATATTCTCATTCTTTATAAATCTGCTTTAAAATAAAGAATATTGTAGCTATCCGAACAGTTATTTCAGCTTCTCAAACCGGGAGTGTTGCTAACACTGGCCCTAGCAAGAGCAGTACTTGGATGGATCGGGAGGATCCGTAATGACGTGTTTAAGGCCGATTTTTGTAGTTTACCTGAATATTTGACAGACTTGGATTTAGCTGCCTTTGATTTTATAGGCCTCAATTGTTCAATATCTTAACTCAGCATTGTTTAGTATACGTATGAAAAAGTTCTCCAGTCATGAGTGTTTTTGTTTATGTGGGTTAATGTTGATGCAAGTATCGTGTTCACAAGGAATGTACTAGATGATTTCTTCTCTTCATTCTTGATTAAAAATAATTTAATTTTTAAAAATTAGTCTATAAATTTATATCATTTTTAAATTCAGTTCTGTATTCTTCTCACGCTTCGATGGTCTTATTTAAATTTACTTCTACATCACACACATTTGCATAACATATACATATATTTCACTATTAAGTAGAAACGCCTTGCAAGCTATCTATTTAAGCAGAAACGAGTCTAAAGCTGGTAGGCAATACTAAAATACATGTAAATGAACAAACCACAAACAAACACAAAGATCAATCTAGTTGTCAATGAACATTTGTTTCTTAAACATATCTTTGAGTTATTGTGTCTAAAGTTCTAATCGGCTTAATTATCGTCTGTCTACCGTCGTAAAATATTGTATTTGAAGAAATGAAATAAAACTTAGATTAGAAAAAACGTTCGTTTTATAAGGTGTAAGCGAAGAATATCATTAAAATTATACCAATAATATTAATGACTAGAGATAACAACAGATAGGTAAATACGTTTATATCTTTAATCTAATGAGAACAAAGATTTGAGGGTATCTCTCCATGCTCAAAGGGCAGGTTATTAAAGTAAGATGAAATTTAGTCATTATTTGTTTCGTAGACGTGTCATGTCCTAACGTGTATAGTTTATTAAATAGGCTATTTATTTATATTATAACGAGAAAAACAAACTAGCTAAACTAAAACCATACAATATAATAAATAATGAATCATTAACTTAATTCAATTTGATAATTCCCTTTGCCGCTGACAATATCTGAAATATATTTTATCCAATATTCACACAATAAGTACTTAATATAAATAAAAATTACCATGTTTTCACCAAATAATCTGAAATTTTGTAATACTTATTGAGAGCTGTTAGCTGCTTGTAACAATGCTGGCCATTCCATTTCTGCAGATATTAACTAACTTGAATGAATTGAGTCCGTGTACCAATTTGTAGCCGATTGCTACGAGCTAGTATCCCGTAGCTGGCACGTAGCATGTGGTCACGTTAGCATCGTAGAGATCTGCGGTTTCATATTGGATTTAATCCCGATACTATATTCGAAGTTATAAAACTCAATACAACATTTCGAAAATCTATTTTAGACTTTATTTATTTTTTATTGCCCTTGTAGTTGGACCAGAATAGGGCCCACCTGATGGTGAGTGGTTAGCGTCGCCCATTGACTTCAGCAATGCCAGGGGCAGAGCCAAGCCGCTGCCTACCGCTGCTTGTGTTTAAATTTAGAGATTATTTATTATTATACTATTTCTTGATGTCTTGTAAATATACTTTGATGTCTTAAAAATATACAGTTCATTTAATAATAAGTCTGATGTACGATTGACATACCTGCGATTGTTTTGGTAATAACGGCTACCTTAACTGGCCTATATGTAAACCGTTCAGTAATTGCACCCTTAAAACTGAAAGGAATCATTAGCCTAATGAAGAAGATAATGATCTTCTTCAATATCATAGTGAATGACTATGATAATGAAAAAGACAATGCATGAAAAATAAAAAGAACAAAAATTTGAACTATGTAATTTAATTACAGCTTCGAACGTTTCCCTAAATTATTAATTAAAATTCATGTGACATATTATTAATGTGCGTTTCCGACGCCACAATTATTAAATGTACGTGAGCGGAGGGGGATTAACCGAACACATTTTTGTGTCAATTTTACAAGTAAAATATATTTTTAAATATTAGATTTTGGTATTATTTACGTACAAATAATCGTAGAAGAGTCACTTCTGAGATTTCAATACAATTGAATTAAAATTTATGTCTTGTGATCCTGTTAAATTTAATTTTAACATAATTCTAAACTCTATCTGACGAAGCGTGTTGCGGATAATAACATGTTTAAAAAAAGTGTTATTTCATTATTGCGAAAAATAAAGATAATTATTCTAAACAATAGTATTTAGTGAAAAGAACTATTCATTATGTTTACAGTATGTCAGTCTTCGAAGACAATAAAAAAAAAACGTATAAGAAGTGTCCGTGACGTCATTGTACGCGCAACGCCTCTGATACTTGTATCGAGTGATGATTTTATTCTTTGGCTTTGATATCATGATTCCGAGCAAGTATAAATGCACGCGCAGGCATTATCGTTCTGCCTATTTGTATTCAGAATGTATGTATTTAGTTTGAAGAGTTAGGAGAGTCCATTTATAGTACAATCAAAGCTTGGATCATCTTTTATTTTATTGCTCAGATGTGTGGTCGAGCCCAGAGCCTACCTGGTCTTAAGTAGTTACTGGAGCCCATCAATATCTACAACGTAAATGCCGTCACCCACCTTGAAATATGAGTTCTAAGGTTTCAGTATAGTTACAACGGCTGCTCCACCCTTCAAACCGAAACGCATCACTGCTTCACGTCTGAAATAGGCATGGCGGTGGTACCTAACCATGCGGACTCACAAGAGGTCCTTTGGGTGATCTTATTTTCGTTGTGGTGCTTACTGGTGGTAGGCCGCTCGCACAGGTAGGTTCCAACATCACTCTATTTCTACCGCGAAGCAGTTAAACGAACCGATTTTAAAAGATGGGACAGTCGTTCACTGAGACTGTGTTATCATCTCTTAAGATGGGTGGCAGCATTCGCGTTGTAATGTTAAAGAGATCTGGTAACCACTCCACACTAGGCAGGCCATTTAGACAAAAAAAAAGATGTGTGGTGCCGTGGGACACCGGATAGGAACGAAGTTCCTTATTATAAAAATATTGATTTTAAGTTCTATTCGAGGTATAAAGAAAATAAAACTGGAAGTTTCGCAACAACCCAAGGTCATTCGGTAACGTGCGAACTTATTGTGGTACACTTCATTCACGGTTGTTTGCATAAGAGTTAGTGTATTGCGCAAACGAACGCTCTGAGATCGTGGTCAATGAATGATAAAAAAATATGTTATTTTTTGTACGTTATTACAAAGTTAAGTCGTACACTGTGTGCATTACTAACCAGTACGTAATAACGTACAATAAAAATCTTAGTTACGGACGTTTTTTCGCGGTTAGGGTACCCCTCCGAATCGTTCCATGAGGAACTTCGTTCCAAAATCCGATGATAAGAAACATCCAGTGAGACACGATGTTCTGTACCCATTTGCGGCATTAATAATAATAATATTTTTTTATTTCAGAATTAAATTCCATATGAAGTGTTAGTAATACAAAATCTTTCGTAAAAAAAAACAAATTTTTTTTAAGGGAATCCTAATTATGGTATTATTAACATTGCACTCCTTTCAGATGGGTCATCTTTCAGTGGTGATACCGCCAGAGATAGCCGATGAAGATGGATCGGAAGCAAGTGCTCCTGAAGGTGGGTCGGTGGAACTGCGGTGTACAGCTTCCGGGGTGCCTGAACCTAACATATCTTGGAAGCGGACCTTGGGTAGGAACATTATCCTGCGTGACAGTAATGGACAGGAACTGAAAGGTAATTGATAAAAGCTATTTTTAGTGGTAAAATGAGTCAGTGTTTAAGTTAATTTTATAGTAGATGCAGGTTTCGACGGAAAATAATGTTATCATTGATAAAATATTTGTAATATTTTGTGTATTGTAAATAAAGTTTAGTTTTAATTAAAAAAAATTATAGTATATGTACTATGTTCACGCGAACAAAAATATAATTTGAAATAAAAATTGCATCTAACAAGAAAGCATATAAAATAATAATAAATTATAACACATTTAGTTTTGACAAATTATTGTAACGGATTATTAAAATAATTTTCAACATTAGCTCTTAACTACAAAATTGATTATTAGAAAACAGTAAAATAAACAAGACGTCAATTCTCCGATAAATTTTATTCGAAGCCCATCGCTATTCAACTAAGTGATAAAAAAGAAACAAGACTAATTTTGCATTCAAAGCCTGCCTGGAGCGAGAGCAGGTGCCCGCGCGGTTAAAACATTGGAGTTTTGTAGGATTTATTAAGATATAGCCTTAGGATATTGGAAAGAAATTCTGTGCTCGAAATAAACGCGTTTCGATTGAGCGATGAGAGTGAACGCAAAATTCATATTTCTGAATTTCTTGTTATTTACGAAAAAGTTGAGGTTCACACCTCATAACAAAAAAAAATTCCTACCTAAGCTGATGGTCTTGAGAGACCACTTCATCGTAACCGGGCGAGTAGGTGAGCTCACGGGGCTCGAACGTTGTTGCTAACACTGGCCCTAGCAAGAGCCGTCCTTCGCAGAATCTACCGCCGCATCGGAAACGCGGCCCACTGAGAAGATTCGGCGAGAAACTCAGTGGGCTGTATCTGTGGGTTAATTTATTCGCAGAGCCCTTCGTCGCAAGCGTCGGGTTCGGCGAGAACGATGACCGGACTCATCTAAGATGAAAGACGTGCACATTGTGACGTGTACGGACTGTGGTAGCCACTTAGAACTAGGAGACCGAGAGCACGTTTCCCCTTGATTATAAGTATCAACATTTATACATTATTTTGCGAATTTGTATAAAAAGCTAAAACCACCTTTTCATCTTTTGGCAGTGATAATGATCAAAAATACAGCTGCATAGACTCCTTAAATAGAGCTGGTATTTATGTGTTGCTTAAGAATAAATAAATAAAACGATAATTAATGAAACGATTCCGTAAATTAATAATAACATTCTCATAACATTTTTCTTAGAATTCTGTTAATTGCAAAGTTATTTTCAGAATATCTAGTCTACTTAATCTTTAATTTTGTTCCCGAAACACCTTAAAAACTTATATTCGTGTGAAGAAATTATCAAACTAAGATTTGAATAAAATTATAATTATAATTTAAATTTTTAACATAATTCTTTAAACAAATTACTATTGTTTTGTAATGTTATATCGTATCATAAAAGAAAACGAAAGCGGAATTTTCAGAGATAGACAGCCCACGAAAGTCTTTAGTAAAGATGGATTGTTCTCCAAATAAGATTGTAATCGAGGCTATTTGTCTCAAGTCGGTTGTGCAACGGTGACTGGCACGAGAATAATGCTTGAAATTCATTTCCGTGGAAAATCGCGTTCAAAGAACTCAATTACTACTTAAACAAAATATTATGGTAGCCTGGGTTTTGGTCAGGAAATTAAACGAACGGCTTACTGAAGACCGTGCTTCTAACAGGTTTGTTATCTTTATAGTTTGCTATAACGACCGAGTTTTAGGGCTCCGACGAGAGGCAAGGCGAAAAGACATGGGAGTTTGAAACAATTAAAGGCCTCGCCGTAGTAACCCACACGTAAACATAACGTGTTTGATAATATCAAATCTTGTACGTAATCGTCCATAATATGAGTGTGTTAGGCACAAAATTGCTTGTTCCCTACAGACTATTTAAAACCTTTTCGCTTCGGTGTTTTACGAATTTGACCCGTTTTATTTAAGCCATTAAGCGTAAACAAAAGACTGGCAGTCCCCAGTAAGCGGAGGGAGGTTGTAATAGTTAACAGAGTGGCGGAGCCGGTTCTGCCTTTGTATTAATTGGACATGTTAGACACGCTTCACTAAATATATAAGAATTGCCCTTCGAGTAGCCCCACGTTTTCCTTTTTCTATAATATTCGTTTTATTTCTGTTGGGGAAACATCGAGCTAGCGTAAATGTCTGAAGAAGTTTCTGAGGTTTTTTTGAAATAAACGAAGCTTTATGTGTGTATTCAATGGAGTGAAAATCGAGTCGCCACTACAAAATCAAAATATAAAAAGTTTAAAAAAACTAACAAAATACGCTTTTATAGAAAATCCAACTAAAAAATAGAAAATAAATTTTAATAAATTTGAATGAAAAATAGTGTAAGAAAAAATTATTTTGTTGTAAAAAAAGCGTGGGGCGCATGGTATCGGTAGTTATAAATATTTTATGAACAGGTGTGAGTAGAAGGGTTATTTTGATAATAACCTGAAAAGCACTCCACGCTTTTTTGTGAATGTTGATTGAATGATTGTGTTTTTGTTGAATTTAATTTTTTTGTTTTTTTTTTTAATATTGTATTGTCATCGGTCCTTAATAAGTATATCAAATTTCGAGTTAATCCGACGTTTTGAAAGGGGGTTAAAATCATGTTCAAAGATTCCGTTACATACTAACATACATACGTCTGAAGCTAATAAAAGCGTATTAAAAATGAATAATGACAAGGTACCAAGGTAATTTGTGTGTTAGATTTTATACTGTATTGCAAAATAATGGATAATTTAATTACGTATGTCGTGTCGTGAAGTGCGGCGTCGAGGCGAACAGCGGAGTCAGCAAACTTAATTAACTCACTTAATAAAACATCGCGAACGGATCATTAATTAGCCTAACGAAGTAAATAAAATGTAATGATCAAGATCAAATTGTTGCAGGCTTTCGTTTTACGGTTTTCCAATTTAGTTTTGAATTCTCAGTTCAATATTTCAAACAAGAAACGACAAAGGGAAGACCCTTGCACTGCGCTCGTCTCTAACTTTGTTGTTTGAATTTGTATACGTAACCATACATTAAAATGGTCATTATCATGATCGTGGTTATCGTGGCGTTTATACTAGTTTTATCCTACTCTCTATTATAGCTACCGGTCAGACTATCTCCTAAGGGCAGCCGTCAAGCGATTCAGTTGCATTAGTCTGTTATTTATATTTCACCGCGAATGGTTCTTCGATAAAAGTTCATTAAAAGACATTAAGAACAAAGTTCATCTTCTTTGAAACATTACAATGCACGTTATGCGCGTGGGCGCTTAGAATCTTAATTTTGACTAATGTTCCTCAAGAGTTATTCTGAGAAATTACGATCGGATGAGTTGTTTAATCATCAATACGCACTGGTGACATTACCGTCAAAATATTGATTAAACATTTTTCACACTTGTAACGTTAATTCTTAGTAGCTAACGTCACAAGTAGATATTAAAAATGCTAAAGATATATCTTATCGCTGCCTATCGCTAAGAACTCTATTTCAAAACTAGTTTTAAACAGGATAGTTGTTAGTAGATGTTAGGTTATTATGTTATACTAGAGCGGTTATACTGGAGCTGGATAGTATGTGAATAAATTATGAATAATTCTAAAGTTGGGGAGCTCTTATGTTTGTTCTTTTTTTTTTAAACAATAGTTTAAAATCTAGGAAAAAATCTGTTAGCAATATGTTGTCAAGTATAATAATACTAATACTCCGTTTTATATTTATACGTTTTCGAAAAATCTTTTTTTTGATTTGTTTAAAATAATATTTAAATATCGACTTCGGACTAAGTTTGAGACTAAATATTTTTCTTTTAAAATGTGTTTAGCGGTAGTAAATGATTTGTCTGAGAAATGAAATCGGAAAACAATTAGTCTCGGCGTAATAATAAAGGGGAATTGCTGAATCGCAGCCGTCGTCTGGCGTAACAAGTTGCCAACGACATGTCGCAAGGCAACTTTATAACCCGTTAATAAAATACAATTTCATACAAGCCCCGCTTTCGATATTAAGCGCTCTCTGTACGTATCCTTATATTTGCGCTTGATATTTAGGAGCCTCGTGTGTTTTAGTGAAGCGATAAATTATAAACATTAAATTTAATTTGACAGCTATTGTTAAATTAGCCGCGATTTTAATTTATGATCTCGGTGAATTGTTTGACGTTTTGCTTAGACCCTTACAAAGCATAGTTTACGTTAATAAAACTATATAAATAGTTTAGTACGCCTATTCACGAGTATTAACATGTTTATAGTTATTGATAGTGTGTTATGGCTAAATAATAAATATCTGTGGCGAAATAGTCCTATATTCAAAAGGGTAGGACAACTCTGTCAATTCCGAATCTTCTGATTAAAACGGTTACCAGAACCTCTTAACATTTGAAATTGTAAGCTCTATTTCTTTAGAAATAAAAACATGAGTATCCATTTCGTATCCTAGCCAGTATTTAATTTAAACGTTATTTTTCACGCTCATACTGTTTAATTATTACATAGTTGAAGTGCTCAAAAGAATAAGGCATTCTTCGGTATATTATAATTCTTATTATTAATTATTATCAATATTCGAATTATTTTGAATTATGTTCAGGATTAAATAGTGCAGATATTAACGTAACTAAGGAATGTTCGTATGGGTCTTCAATGATGTTGAAATAATATCGTATACGTACGTAATAATACAATTGGAACTCATATTCAAGGTAGCTGGTGGCATTCAGTTTGTGACGTCTATGGGTTTCTTTTATCACCAGACAGGTCGTGAGCTTATTTAAGCAAATCAGAAAAATAAAAAATGAGATGAAGTATGATAGAAAGATCATATCGTAAAAAGTTTCTTAAGCATGGTTGCGAGCTTTTATATTTTTTATGAAAATCGGATTACTATTGTTTTTTTTTATCAGCTCATACAATAAGCTTTCCTGACACAATGGGAACAGCAATGTTCTTATTCGTTTTGACACGTGTATTTATTTTGTATATCTCTTAATGCGATTACGATACGATTATTAGATTAACGTGGTATTTGATGTTGTAAATGTTTTATTTTGCCCGTCAAAAGTGTAGAAAAGAAAGTTCCTATAATGGTAATGTATTTCTAAGGTAAACATTCTCTATCAAAGTATAACAAGACTAGCAAAGGCTGGATTGTACAATTATTTGTTGTTTGTTCACTCTAACCCAAAGTTTGAATGTAGCTTTAAAGTCGTATTAAAAGCTACTCTACATTTTTATTAATAGCTTCTTTATCTAGAAGAAATTAACAATTTTCTCGGGTATCTTTGGTGGTTATTTAAACAGTAATGTGCTTTGGTTGTAAGGACGGAATTCCTCACCGAATAAGTCCACCGTGGAGTTTGTTGAGTAAGTTAGACCATTTACGGTATCCGATTGTGTTTCGCTTTCCAAGCCTCCAGCCTCCATGTCACTTGGAACTTCAAGCTTCAGCATAATGCCTTAATTGAAGTTTTTGGAATTACACGGTGCACAATTTTGAATGAACTGCATAGAAAATTTATAGCTAGGAAATACTAGCTTATTGCTAAGATAGGTGGACGAGGTCACGATCCACTTGGTGTTAAGTGGTTATTGGAGCACAAAGACTTCACAACGTCCATCTACCTTAAGGCATGAGGTCCAGCCGCTATTTTATCTATCGGTTGCCCCACTTTTAAAAACGGAAACCGTGATTACTCAGTAGAAAAGCAAAGGACAATGTTCTCAACCCCTGTGTGTTCGTTATCGCATAATGACGCGATATCATCAAGAAATAACAGCGACACCTGTGCCAAGGACAGAACACATGGAATCGGTAATTGGCAGCCCACTCGGCAATTGGTGGCCCACTGGACCAAAACCACACAAAACCAAGGAAATGTCGAGGAGTCTTGAGATTTATATCGACAATAGAATACTCAACGATTACCTCACGATGCTCACGATAAAGAAGGCGATGTGTACAAAATAAAAAAGCTACCGTATAGCGATTTAATAGTAACTTTGGTCTAATCGTTTTGTAAAAATAATGCATTATCAAAAAAAAGTTATGTTAACTAAAACCTATTTATCAGCCATCAGCCGCATCTACACAATTGGGTAAACGCCAATTTTCTCCTGACGATAAATCATACTATTTCAGTGGCCCCCTCGCGTGGTTCTGTCGTTGTGTACAATCTAACATTAAATGCAGCCAAAGCCAACGCTTCCAAGCCTGTTTTTGGTTAACAGGCTAATTCCAATTTGTTAAGGCAATCCAAGACCTAATTTTTAATGGTCAGATAATTTAGTAAAATTGAAAAGATTATTTGAAAATACTTGAACGAGTAAACAAAAAAACAATATTGTGGTATTTAATTTGTTAAATCGTCTTGTCGAAGTTTTCTTTTGTGAAAAATAATGATATATAAAATCAACTCATTTTTTATTTGTCATAATGAAGTTGAAATTTTATTACGGTATATCTTATTATTTTAATATGATTAATAGATCTTACGCTTATCCCAATGTGAGTGCCGTGGCTCATTTTGAGATATGAGAAAGAAACCTTAGTATTATTATGATGTAAAAGACCTAAGGTTACCGATAGTAAAATCAGGCGATAATTAAGGACATTGACCGAAAAGCAACGACAGGGAGAAGGTAATGGGATGCTACTATCAACAGTTAGAAGTTGTCCGGGCTAGTACACTCGTACCATTATAATCGAATGAATGGCATGGCTCATTATTGAATAATTAAGAAAACGTCAGCACCGCTCTGATTTGAAACTCCATGAACCAAAAAAACGACACTAAAAAGAGACAAACATATTATACATAGCATTTAGCCTGCGTGAGAATGAGATATAATGAAGACTTCAACCACATGTGAACTGCACATGTATTATTTTATCACGAAATAACCCTTCGATCTGATGTATTAAATTTAAGATTGATGATTGATGATTGAATATTGTTGATTACCTAATTGTATCAATTCCAATTGGGACTCAAAAATGTACAAATACCTAGAAATCTGTATTTTACTGACCATGAAACAATTCCGGGTCCAGTCGATTGGTTTTTGGTTGGTAAAAAACAGAAAGGTTGTTTAACAGAGTTTTTCAGAGACTGAATATATTTGCTTGTTTAGTCTGGTATTTACGTTGTCCTTTTTTGGAGATGTTAAATTGCATAGAACGGAACTTAAACCTATTACTGATAAGAGACAATCAACGTTTGGAAATAGCAATTGTTCAAACTAAATGTTAGTTTCGTTTGAATTAGAAAGTAGGTCAGAGGATTCCATGATAATAATGGTATATCCGACTACTAATCAGAAGCGGGTAGTCAGCCCCGACATTTCCAAGCTACTGCTTGTACCTTCTCAACATCCTTCTATAGCAAGAGTATTATTATCACTTATCCTAACTTAGTCACTAATTTCTTAAGAATTGATTTAAAAGTTACTTGTTGTACTTTTACAATCTTATATTTCATAATATCGCACATACGGTGCGATAACGTCACTTATGCAAATTAATTTATGTAATTTTTCATGAGAAACGTTGGAAAATTCAACACGTTAATAATTCTTATATAGTTCTGCTAGACTATAGAAATAAAATAATATTTAAACTAAAACTTTAAAATTCATCAGTAAAAGCAAACATCTGAAACGAGCTCACTAATAACTATTAAAAAATGTATTTTCTCATACTCAGTTCAGTGTTAACAAAAATTGCATAAGTGAGTTTATAGCACCGTATATGCGATATATAGCGGTATTTACGTTGTAGGTCCATCCAAATATTTTTTATTTTTAATAGTTAAAGTAGTATGTATCCTGAATGTATCGTATGGAAGTCTATCTTGTATGGTATTTATTTTTCCCATGTGTATATAAGTATATATTTTTATGTAATTTTATTAAGATATAGCACCGTTCATGCTAGTTTGCTTATTCCTCTCCTTGCAAGGTTGCCTGGAAGAGATCGCTTACAGCGATAAGGCCGCCAATTTATATCACCGTTTATTATTTGTTTTATATGCTTACTCTCTACATGTGGTGTCAAATAAAGAGTTATTATTATTATAGAATTTCATAGCTCCTTATCACAAAAAAATTATATGTCTGTCCAGTGGTGGACAGCTATGTTGGTTCAACTCTTGTGCTGAAAGGCCTGCGGCGTTCGGACATGGGCACCTATCTGTGTATCGCAGCCAACGGCATTCCGCCTACAAAGAGCCGCCGCTACGAGGTCACCGTACTCTGTGAGTAAACTAAAAACTCTTTTATTTACGATCCTACTGGAAAGCGCTCACTCATCTAGAGTTGTATTGGCGATCGTAAAACACGCCTTCTATAGAAATACAATTGAGATTCACTCGAGGATTTTATTCGTAGGTTTTTTGATGAAGCCAGCCGTCTATGTGAAATGACTGAGTGCTTCATAAAACTAGAGAATTTATAGTCTGCAAGTTACGAAAACTTTTGCTTCGTGTTAACGCTAAAATGTAGCGTTCGATTTGTTAGTAGGGGAATCGATCGAGTGAAGTTATTGTCCGTGCAAGGAAATAAACTGTCCAACTTTATATCCTCAACCGAACTGCCTCGCTTTAAAGCCCCACCTTAATTGAGTGGACTTAATTTGGAAAGCGTAAAACTTTACTTCGCTATGCTTATAAATTGATTTCGTAGGTGAACTGGGATTATAAGAATTAAGTTCACTGACAAATTAGATTTATGACGAGATTAACTGAATAATATAATTCTTTATAAGGTATTAAAGTCGTCGTGGCCTAAAGGATAAGTCGTCCGGTGCATTCGTGTTCAGCGATGCACCGGTGTTCGATTCTCAGGCGGGTACCAATTTTTCTAATGAAATATGTATTCAGCAAATGTTCACGATTGACTTCCACGGTGAAGGAATAACATCGTGTAATAGAAATCAAACCCGCAAAATTATAATTTGCGTAATCACTGGTGGTAGGACGTCTTGTGAGTCCGCGCGGGTAGCTGCCACTACCCTGCCTATTCTGCCGTGAAGCAGTAATGCGTTTGGGTTTGAAGGATGGGGCACCCGCTGTAACTATACTGAGACCTTAGAACTTATATCTCAAGGTAGGTGGCGGCATTTGCGTTGTAGATGTCTATGGGCTCCAGTAATCACTTAATATCAGATGGGCCGTAAGCTCGTCCACCCACATAAGCAATAAAAAAAAGTCATCCGCCCCAAGTTAGGGCTTTTCTTGTGTGTCCGCGAGCGTACAAGGCAAGAAAAATTCACTTCGATCTCAAACAATTACATATCTTTCTGTCTTTCTCGAAAATATATCTTTTAATAATGATATATATAAATCTTTCTGTCTTTCTCGAAAATATATCTTTTAATAATGATATATATAAAAAATACGCTCTGAATCGTGAATCAAATCCGGACAGTAGTTATCGTGTTTGTGGTAAATCTCACATAAGCTTTCTAATTCTTTGCGTACAGTTGAACCTATAGTTCGGGTGGCGAGTCCAGTTGTGCTGAGATCAACAGACATGCAAGTTACGCTGCAGTGCTACGTTGAGTCGTCTCCTAAATCTCTAAATACATGGCAGAGAGGAAAATCACACAACAGTACGTATAGCTCACCGGTTTATAATCACCGATTTATTTCAAAAGGTATCTAAAGTAAACACATTTGTATTAACTTCAAGAAATTTAATTTATTACTAGGTTTTTCTTTTATATCCTTATCATCTATATCTATATCTATACTAATATATAAATCTACAGTGGTTTTTACGGATTTTCCGTTATAACTACTGAACCATGCATCCGATTGACTTGAAACTTGGTGTCCATGTAGAAAATACATGTACTTAATGGATAGGCTAATATTTATATGAGTGTTGGACTCCCTACACCAGTTGCGGGGGCGTTAATGATGAGAATCTTTGTGGGGGTGAGAAATAATAATGTTAATTTTAAATGGCCAACGAAGCAGTCGGGTACAGCTAGTATTATATAAAAATTCTAATAAAAAGTCTGAAATAAAGAATCTGATATTCTTTTCTCATTCAAATAACAAACTTTGTCATAGGTGGGAAACTTTTGAACAGCTCCAAATACGTTATATCCGAAGAGATATTGAACGAGTACGCGTTGCGTATGAACTTGACTATAACTCGTCTTAAGAAGAATGACTTCGGCGACTACACGTGCTCGGCTGTCAACGGGTATGGGAGAGCAGATGGAGCTATTAATTTAAAAGGTAAATTTCATTCGTTTAAACAGCTCAAAATAAATATTAAGAGTAGTTATCGAGTTATTTTGAACGATAAACTTTTGATTTTCCAGAAACACCACAGAAGACGACCACAACTACGAGCACAACAACCACGACGACCACGACCACGCGACCGTCCACCACCACAGCGTCGACGACCCGCCCCTCCAAGGTCCACGTGAAGAAGCCGCATGACCGCGCCAACCAGAACGCGCTGGACGCGGATCCGCGGCAAGTCGAGCTCAATAACGCCTTCAACTTTTACAACGTCAACGTTTTCATTCCCAACACGACTAACAATGATTACTCTCAACGAACCGAGAGACAGAAGACTCGACCGACCGGCTCTCCGCGACACTACATCTCCTACAGCAGCGCTAACAAACAAAAACTAACTTCACTCGTATTATTCATTCTACTAAAACACATCGTATAGACACACTTTGTTTTATTATTCAGCTGTTTAATAAGATATAATAAAGATGTGGCTGTTGAATTTTATATTGTACTATTTTGAAGTTGTTGTAAAGTTTTTAACGGTATTGTTATGTAATGTTTATGAAGAACATTTATCGGCCTTATGACGTGAATCGAGACAATAAAACGGTAGCGACTCTAAATGTCGAACCGTCTTCTGATTAATCTTCATATAACTTATATACAGAATATTTCACATTAATATCATATTGTCATATCAGATTTAATACGAATTTTGATTTCAAAATGTTTATCTTAGATGAAATAAAAATATTTCCTGTATTACATTATTATTATTATTAAACTAAAACTTACGATGCTTATTATATTATACTGTTAATAATGTGAGGTAATTAGAAAACGTTAGATTTGTATGTGACAATAAAATTGAAAAGACAATAGACTTTAGACGTAAGATAGTGAACAATATACATACATAAGTATAATAAATTAGTTTGTTGGGTCATTGAGACGTTATTACAAGTGAAATGACAATACTGTATGATATACAATTTGGAATACTGTTTACAATGACAGTAATAACAACGAACAAATAAAGCATTAAAATGTTGTTTAGAAATTTAATAATAATTTAAAAAATGTAGGCGTAGTAGAGATTTATTAATGAATTTTGGAAAATCACGATTCTTTTATACGATATTGTATGGTTTTTTTTTTTTTAAATATCGACAACAATTTATGCTAGCGTTTTTAAAAAATATTTATCTTATAAATTAACACATAATATATTAACGTATGTAACATAAAAATATAAGTAATTAATTTCTTGGACAAAATTTAGATTTAAAAATATGATATAATACTCGTTATTAATAAATTTATGTCTTCCGGTTAGTGTATTAAAATGTAATTTGGCTCATTCAAAATTTATATGTTTCAATTGTGGTAATATATAATATATATTATAGTCCCTTTTGGATGATGCTGAATGATGTGTGAGAGTAGACTTTGTAAGTAACGTCAAAGAATTTATTGTAGTATTATGAATGTTTAGAGGACGTATTAAATTTTAAGTAAGTATGAAACTGTAAATTTTGCGGAAAATGTACGAGTAATGTTGCGTGTATCGTAAATATTAAAAAATTTAAATTGTATTTGACGTATCGAATAGTTATTATGACAATAATGTTATTAAAATTCGTTCACAGCTTTGATGCGTAAATGTAAAAGTAGTTTTAAATTTCAAACACTATATGGTTCGTTATTTTTGCTTCGAATAATGTTTTATTAAAATAAATTGAATCGATAATAAATAATGAAATAGTAAAGATTAATACTGTATTTGTAAATATCAGACCCATGTAATTAATATATCACTCGAAGTACGTGGGCGATTATTTATCAATGTTAAATATAAGATGTTAATATCATTTTATGATATTTGAAAATAAAAAATGTAATCCATCGTGTTCATTCATTTTAAGTCCTCAAAAAAGGAAAATGTCGTTTTGAGAAAATCGATTTAGTGGAAAAAACCACTGCAGTATAACTACACGCCTGTGCATAAGCTACAATAATAAATTTAGAAGTTAGAAGCATTTAGTATTTAAAAAAACTCGCTAGTTAATTAGATAGATCTTAGAAGCAATGTTTTGAAGGGTAATAGGTAGCATATTCATAAAATCCAACTATTTAAATAAACGTCATCAGAATTATGTTATAAACTAAAACAATTTTTCCCCAACTTTCAACTTTAAAAAACAAAACGAAACCTTTAGCCAAACAAGCAGAAGATACAAATAAAATTCAAAAAGTGTAATAAGGTTTGAAAATATTTCTCACTGGTTGGTAGCAGCTTGAATCAACTCCTGAAATATACAATGTTCACAAATCAAAATTTTACGGTTGCACCGTAACCTCGATGCTAGTTCGATGCTATAAAAGCATCAAAAAATATCTTGATACTACGTAGCTCAGGCACGTCAATGAAAATTAACATTAGAATTGCTTCGTTTGCTCCTTCAACGCGTTCCTGCATCGTTCACCCAGTTGTGTTGAAACTTCGGGAATGTATGGCTGTTCCTTGATAACAGCGACCTCGATATTGAAACTTTTAATCCAAAATAACTTTATTATAGTCTTGATGTACAATAAATATGTTAAGTAATAGTGGAACGGGCTCAGCCAGGAGTGGTGGGGTTCGCCGACAGCATTCCGAGCGCTGCAAAGGATTTTTTTTTCTACCTAAGCTGATAAGCCTTGAGGGGCTATTTCAGCGTAACCTTAATAGTAGGTGACCTCACGGGACTCAAACCTGACGACGTTGCTAACACTGGCCCTAGCAAGAGCCGTACTTCGCAGAATCTACTACCGGATCGGAAACGCGACCCACTGAGAAGATCCGGCGAGAAACTCAGTGCGCTGTGTTTGAGGGTTAGCTGCAAAGGAGCCTTGACAGCAGAAGGGCAGCTGTTTTGTGCAGAACTGAATAGATCCTTGATATGCTAGCGTGTATCTATCTTTTATGTATCGGTGTCTATGTATCGGAAATTTTCAGCGTAATTGTTAACTTTTTTTTTAATGCCGCCACTCACCTTGAGATATAAGTTCTAAGGTCTCAGTATTGTTACAACGATTGCTTCACCCTTCAAACCGAGACGCATTACTGCTTCACGGTAGAAATAGGTAGGGCGGTGGTACCGTGGTGGTATCCGTGCGGACTCACAAGAGATCCTACCACGACGATTTTAAGACATCCGAAATTTGCAGTCATACCACAGACCAATGACAAAATTAATTAGGAACGCTAGGATAATAACAAAAAAATTGTAATTTAAAGATTAGGTTACCCATATTTTTATTTATCGAATTGAATATGTTCTTATGTAAAATTTATAAAATATATTATATAATGTTATTATAGTTTAAAAACACACACACTTTAAGTCGAACTGCAAAGTAGCACAATTAAATCTTAAACACTTATGATTTTTTAAAATGTGGTATGACGCTGTTGGCCGTGGGAATGTCTGCTAATTTACCAATCCTAGCGAGAGGACGGAAGGTTGCGCTTCCGATTCACGCTGGCTCTAGACCGGCGTAATATTGGGAATGTTCGCTGACCGTTGATCTGATTTTTTTTTTGGGATTTTAGGACTTGGTATTTACAACATTTGGGTCAACTCTTATTTTTCATAGCACATTCATAGACGTCATATTATGCCTATGAGCACATTCCATTAAATTGCTTTAATTGTATTCTTTATATATTTGTAGATGTGCTTGTAAGTAAGTTCGTCTTGTAACAATTGTTTTAATGGCGGCGGGCGGGACCATAAATCACACTTATTGTCAACATCACTAAGTTCACTGGCCAACACTAGTCTCTCGATCAAAATTTTTTGACAATCGAAGGTAATGTGCTTCACAGTTCCATCACTTGAGTTACAATGTGAACAGATTTTATTCGCAATAATGCCGAGTCGAGCAAGGTGTGACGGGGTCATTCCGATAGAGGCACCCGTCACGTGCGGACGTGCTCATCGTCCACTCGATCGCCCGGTCTTTGTTCGCCCGGCTTTTGTTAGCCCGGCCATTGTTCGCGCGGCCTGTGTTTGTGGTACATCTGCCGACTAAGTGCTCTTTCTGGAAGTTTTTATTTGTTTTGTTTCCTTTTGTTGTTTCTGTGTTCGTGGTACATCTGCCGACNAAAAAAAAAAAAAAAAAAAAAAAAAAAAAAAAAAAAAAAAAAAAAAAAAAAAAAAAAAAAGGTGTGACGGTGCCGTTGAATCTGACCAACGGTACGTATAGATGCTTATGGCTAGATATAATCTATCACGATAACGAATCTATTATGGTAACACTCGAAGGAATTTTAAAGCTACTACAATTGCTTCTTAATTCCTTGGTGGTATTGTAGTTTCGTACCATCGTCCTTTTCTGCCTATTTCCGGTATGAAGCATTGATACGTTTTAGGATAGCCGTGATTAGGGCTTTGTCCTTGTAACTGAAAAGCGGAGGGAATCACATTGTGATAAACTACGGTAATTGCTTAACATCTCGTGGGTCATAAATTAAACTGATCATAAATGCTAGTAGAAAAATCTAACCTGGAAAATAAGCTAATAGACAGAAACAACCAACAAATGTTCGGTTCAATTATTCATACATACTAACTGCAAGATTTATGTGGATGCGGAGTAAAGTCACTGACCTAGTTCGCTTTGATATTCAATTCAGGTGTAATTTTAATAGTAATGGAACGGTTAGTTCTTAATACTGTTGCTGTGATGATATTTATGAATTTTAAGCCATTTTCACAGTCAATTACGATGTACTTCCTCATATCAAGTGGATCACAAAAATGAGCGTACTATCTAATTACGAATCTCCTCATTTTTCATTTCAATCGCCATACTATAGAAAAACAATTTGTTTTATTTTAATGCCAACAAAAAACAAGTGAAATAATTTAAAACGAATCAAAACGTCTTGTAATATGTATATATTATTATATGTAATGTTTACTGTATGCACTAGGTTTTGTCCCTAATTCTTCTTTCCTTTTGCGGGCCTACTGGAAGAGATTTCAACATGAAATAAGTAGTGCCCTTGTACTCTGTATCCTTATTGTCGTATTTTTTCTAACAGCTGTGTGTACAAAATATATTAAATAAAAATAAATAATAAATAAAAACGACCATTTTGTTTTAATTCGTTTTAAATTTACTAGATTTTTTTATATTAAGCCGTTTTAAGCAACGGTTTTCCGCTTATGTTAATATTGTACCATAGTACAGGATGTGTCTTCACCATGATCTTAATAAGGAACTTCACATTTATTGAATTTTCTAATTATTGTCTATCTTTAAATAAATTACTTAGAAGTTGGTTTATGTTTATTTATTATTTATTTATTTATGTTTGCCTATATTATACGTTAGACCATCGGTTATCGGACAGATTCTAAATTCAATTCAGGAGTTATTGTTGGCACT